GACCAGCAGCATGCGCAGGTGACACCTCTCTCATGGTGACAGCACCTGGATAGTGCAGGTAGAGGAAGGTGACCATCTTCACAAGAAAGAGAATGATGGACAGGAGCTGAGACAGGAGGGATGCCTGTGGATCCACTCTTTCACAGCAACAATCAGGAATCAAAGGTGATCTGAAGAAATCCCTTGCAAAGAAGGTGACCCACCTTCTTCTATTGGTCACAAAGACCAACTGTTCCCAAACCTTACAGCCCAGTGGCTCACAGTAAACCCACAGCACATCCTCTCTTCTTCAAACAGGATACTCCACCTTTAACTTGCATTTAATGTGATGTTTAACATATCTCTTGCAGGTGAGCTGCTGACCACTCACTACAGTCACTGACAGACGTGGGCTGCAGACCACCCTGCCAGAGAAAACTACTTTTCAGTGCTCTGACTGCACACTCTTAACTCAAGCAGAGATCTCTGCTAGATAGTCTAAATAGCTCAGCCATTTTGCTGGCCCCTGTGAGGGTACATATGGTTCCATATGCTGGGAAAGCTGGTTTTTTTCAATTTTCTCCTAAAACTAAGTGTAAGAATTTATACACAAACCAATGCTGAAAAAAAATATTAAGAATCAAGCAGTTAAAAGCCAGGAACTGGCTGACAATATCTTGGTCACACAAAAGAGAGATCTAAATAATTGTGATTTGATAGCCAAAAAATGTTCTCTGTAAGACAGGGAAGATAAATAGAAATAAAAGAATGAGGCTGCTTTGTGTGAGAACAGCTTCTTAAATCATGATCATCTTTCCAGACCATTTCATTCTCTCCTCCCTAAATTTCTGCCAAAATGCAGCTAGGTTTAACATGAAGATTTCACAAAAGGTTAATCTTAGCACTTGAGAAGTAAGCAAAGTTTGAGCTGCAGAGGTGTTTTTCTTAGATCATTTTGAAGAGTTATAATGGTGTAAATTGAGTGCCTTAAATTTACCACACTGAAAAGCTGCAGCACTACATCATTCTTGCTGCAATTTTTCTTCCTCTGTAAAGATGACATAAATCCCAGTGGTGGGTCTGCTACAGTGTTGCACTTACCAAGGTGAAATCTGATTTCAGCAGAAGGAGGAAAAAAGATTTCTGAAGGAATGTGTTTAGGGTTCTGCAAACAACCCTATGTCCCACTTCTGCCCCCTCTTCTCTGCATCAGACACACGCCAAAAATGTAAGAGATACCTCTTAAGAGGCACTGCTGAGAATCCATCAGAGCCCAGACTACAGGAGACACCAGTCAAAAGGCTTTGAATAATGGGCAATACATGGGAGTTATTTATTTGTTAAAAACAAATAAAACACCCCAAAAAACACAACCCCAAGCCCACCCCCCTCAAAAAAAAGATTTTTAAGTGTGGTAAAAACCACAAATTCATATGAAATCAAAACAAATTCAAACCTTTTTCCCTGAGAAGAACTCCCACAAACCCTGCAGCAGCCTGTCTTCAGCAGGCTTCACAGAGGCTTATCTGCAGGTCAGAATGGGCCACTGAAGCAAACAGCCTTAAAATCTGGTGACACTGCTCACACAGATCCTCTTGTGGGGGTGAGCAGGATTTCCAAATCCCAGCCTGGCTGGAAACTTGTAGAGGAAATGAGTACAGGAGCAGCACAGGCTGCCAAAGGCTAAATGCAAAAGGACCAAACTGTAGGACAGCCACTGCTTGAGGCAGGGGTGGAAGTAGAAAGGAGAGGGTGATGAGTAAAGGAAGGCCCATTTAAAATGGGAACAAGTCTCAGTCCTATCTGTCAAGTTCTGTCTTTCACCAGTAAAGGCTGTGTTCTTTTCCTCAGATGTGTTTTCAGTAGACCCCCAAAACTGCAGGCATCAGTGCAAGCAAGATGATAGCTCTGGAGAAGGGCCAGCAGAGTTCAAAGTCCCTAGCTGGAAACCTAAGCAACACTGACAAGCATTGAGGGAAAATTTATGAGGTCCTGATTGCTAAAAGCATATGTTTGGGATCTAAAAAAGTAACAATTATGCCACCCACGCTGCTTATTCTTCTCTTGTCTGAGGAGCTTTGGGCTAACATGTTGAAACGTAAACCGACCTCAGCATATTTTAGATAGGATTTATGGCATTCCCAGACTGACATTTAGAATCATGGCTTGCAGTTGAGCATACTACTCAACAAGCCACCTGCCTCTATAAATGTCACTGTTTGGAATCAAACTTGGGTTTCATATAACTCAAAGCAACTCCAGTTCTTTCAGCTCCTCCCTGTTTATAGGGATGGTTCATGGCATACGGCACTGAAAAAGGCAATTTGTAGAAAATAAAGGTTAAAGTCTTGTGTTATTTATCTTGTTTGAAAGCAGTGGAAAGAGGCATGTGAAACCTGCATCCCAGTAAAAACGCAGGACTGACCCACAGATTGGTGCTGGCTTGTGCAACCAGCAACCCTGTGAGGAGCCCAGAGAAAAACCCACTCACAGTGAGGAGCAATGGAACACCAGGTGGGGTGACAGGTGGCATGAGCTTTTCATACCTGGAGATGCCTGAGCCTTTCACAAAACACCAGGGGTGCCCAACAGGGCTCTGTTTGGCTGTGTGGATTCTTCTTCAGAGTAAGTCCTGCAGAAAAGCAGCCATCCAGCCACATCCATGGGAGCAAGCAGTGAACCAAGCATGGGACTCAGGGAGACAGAGGCTTGTCAGGACTGCAGTGTGCTGGAGCCTTCAGACTGCACAATGCCTGCACACCACACCACAGTCCCCAAAAACTGTCTCTCTTGAGTGCCTCCAAGCTCCTCAGAAGAAATGAAGGCAGCACTTGGAGAAAAACTTCTGCCCAAGGGCAGCTGCAGCAATGGCTCCAGATTTAAGATGGAAAGGCAGGTCTCCAGGTCATCTAGGCCAATGTTCTGCTCCAAGCAGGGCCAGCTACCTTATCCCCTTGTGTATTAGGATGAACACACTGCCACAGCTAACCTGTTGCCTCTGAAGATCACAGAGACATTACCTAGACATGTGCTCTAAAAACAGGACGTTTGCTACACAGCCTTAGGGTGTGAATTCTGTTGGGCAGCAGAAGCCATTGGCAAATTTACTGCATAACTGTATCACAGTGAAGCACAGAGAGAGCTCTCCATCAAACTCTCATCCTTCGATAATGCACAATTGGCAATTTCCTGCTTTGCAGGGAAGGAAAAGCACATCATATGTTTCCCTGCAGTCTAGGCACACCAGAAACCAGTGAAATTAGGTGGTAAATAGCTCTGGAGGAGGAGACCACTGTGTCTCTCTAAAATCTCCTTATGAATAATCCAGTCAGAAAACAAGTATTTCAAAACAGAGACGTAATAGATATTGTTCTAACAAAGTTCTCTTCCACTTGACAGAATAAGCTTGCCAGACAATCATATCTTACTACATTGTGGTGTCTGAAGTTATCAGGTATCTTCCTGCAACTACCATCAACAAGGTTTTGAATACTGCAAAGAAGAGGGAAAATAAACCTGTGCCTATCAGCTTGTGCAATCAAACCTAATAAAAAATTTAGCCTTTTGGGACTGAAAAATTGACAAATTGGTGACATACAGAATGAAAATCATCTTGATAGCTAACTGAAATCTGCCTGACCTGATCTTCCTAACATGAACACTATTAAAAAAGAAAAAAAAATCACATGTACATCATTCTTGCAAATCACAGGATGAAAAATTATACATTAGGCATCTTCAGGCACAACTTTTAATGGGAAACACATTTTGCATTTTGTCACAGGTTTATAAATGGCTGTACTCCACTCCTGGAACTTTTCCTCTACGGTTGACTCTCCCTGTGCAGAACAGAGTCCTGCAGGCAAAGACTGGGTGATGGCACATCAATTGCTGAAATGAGTTCTTGCTTGGAACAGGCAAGATGAGTAGCCTCCTTTATACAGCCATTACTTGAACATGTGAGAAAAATGAAGCAGAGATTTCTAGAATCACATGAAATCTAATATATAACACAAAAAAGGCCCACACTAACAATACTCCTGAGGATAAGCCCTTATGTTGAAAGCAAGATTGTTGTAGATGAAACATCATCTTCTTCCTACAAGTGCAAGGAACAACACATACAGAAATAAAGCTATTATATATCAAAGGCTGCAAATCAACATTGTGACTCTTACAGCCAAGGCTTTGCCATTCTGAATAAAGGCATTCTGAAGGCATTCTGTCATTCCCTGAATTAAACTGAAACAGGACCCAATCTGTAGGAACAGAAGGGAAAAGTGTCCTAGACTACTAACAATGGCTTTTCAGAAAGGTGCCAAAAGGGATGACTGACATAAGTTACAGCATCAGAAATCATAGAAAGTGTTTAGAGATCTAGGATCTTTTTCTTTCACACATTCCTTCCTTGGATGCTCAGTTGGTCTAGGAAATCAAGGTGATGCTGGGTGTTGAGATTGTAAGCCTGACAACCAAACATACTCTGCCAGAAGAAATCCAAGAACACATTCAAGTCAAAAATAAATCTATCTTATTCTAAAAAGGTTACATTTCTAAATGCTACTCACCTATAGAATGGTACAGCTGAACCCAACACGGAGCACCATGACAGAAATATGTAATAAAACCTATAGAAGTGTCCTTTGTTATCAGCTTTCCTAGGAACTGCTGGACTCAAAGCAGCACTTTGACACCATCAGAGAGATTGCACCATTTAAACAATCACACCTCACAAAGAGCTTTTAGTACCTGAGAACTTTGAACTCTAAACAAATTCAACATGTTAGTTAAGCAATGAGGGACAGTCTTCCTCTCAGTCACTCCTGTCTCTCTCCTGCTTTCTGGCTCCTGTATCAAGTCAGGCACATGGTGAAAAAAATATTTCAAGCCAGTGGGTGGCACTCAGTACTATATGCTGGATGTGCTGCTGATAGTTTTAATATATCAGATATTTTTAGGTACTGTGAACAGTTCTAGGCAATCGGCTGTTGTAATCAAGAGCATACAGAAGCTCAGCCACATCAGTTCAGTCAGGATTTTAAGTATTCAGGTTTTGCAACTCTGTCAGTACATGTGCTGGGATGGAACAAGAGGAAATACTCCTTGCTTTGGTGTAGACATTTTCAGCAGAATTTCACAGGCATTTTCAGAAGAATCATCTTCCTGAGAACTCCCCACTGTGCTCAGCTTAGCAGACAGTGATTTCCATAATAGCAGCTTTCTGTGAGGAAATAGGAAATGTGGCTCTAGGTGGAGATATTCAGAGTTACCTGCCACAGTGAAAATCCCTGGGTTCCAGCAGGCCACACCATTTGCGAAATGACAATGTTATAGGCAAGAAGATTACAGAGCAGCCCATCTTTGTAAGAAGAAGCAAGAAGACAACAGAGGCAGCCCCGGCGCAGCTAGCTCAGCACCGTGGACAGCGGCGTGGACGTCCCTTCCCTTCCCTTCCCTTCCCTTCCCTTCCCTTCCCTTCCCTCTTTCCACACTGTCCCTGTCACGTGTCCCTTGGCTGGACCCACATGTGGCAGGCTTCAGCTTTGTGGTGGAGATCTCGGTTTGGTACCAAAGGGAAAGCGTTTCCCCCACAAGTGACACTAAGGATTTAGGAGTTCCAGCTGAGTTCTAAACTGGAGAAAGAACAGGCTCTCTAGCTGTATTAATAGCTTTCCAATAAACTTGCCTCTACCTGTGTATCCTCTCTTCCTCAATGCCTTTGATGACATTATTGATACATATTCCTCAATGACATTGTTATCTAGAGCCTTCCACAGCCCAGTCTCTCCTATGTGGCTTTTCAGTACATCCATAAAGAGGCAATACATTGTACAAATAAACATTATACTAATTATATATTGTATAAGTATATTCAGTATGTATCTGCACCTGCAAGGGCAGGATCACTGCAAAGAAGTGAAGTCTGATAGCAAAACTGGAGACTGGGACACAGACACAACAGACAGTTGTGCTGCCTCTGAGTCTATCTCTATGCTATATTTTGAGCAGTTTCAGGTCAGGAATGTGCCCATGCCTTCCCTGACAGTAACACAAACTAAATGCCTGCACGTGTCTTTCACAGCCCTCAAAAGCCAGTATTTCCCTGTCTAGCCTTTTCTCCTTTACCAAAATGCTCTGTCTTCTTGGAAAAGAACAACCCATCTCCTTGAAACCTCCAGAGGTCCCTCTGTTCATCTGGTTCTCCGGAACTTTTGTCACAGAGATCTTTTCTTTTTCTTTCCTCCTGTGAATAATAAGCCACCTGCTTCCCTCAGCAAGCAGAATGTACCAGACACCTGCTGACACTTTGCAGTCCAAACAGCCACTGGTTTCTCATGTGGGTTCTCCCTTTACACTTTCCCTTCCCCCACAGCTCTATAGTTTGTGATGCCACAGAACTCTACAGTTCACACTTCAGTTTTGGCCTGCTCTGAGGAAGTGACATACCCTTGCAACTGAAGCCAACACTCCTTGAAGCAAGCTGTGGTTTCCAGAGTTAGAAACTGCATGGTAGTGGGACTCATGCCTAATGCTTATTGCTTTTCCTGCTCATTTCCTTTCAAATGCAAAGGCTAATTATCCTCTGCTGGAAGCAGAGCCACTTCATTCAAGATTATTGCCATTAACACATTTTGAACAAGTCAATCACCTGCCTTTCTAATGATCTCTGCCCACACAGGCCAACCAAGCTATTCTGCTATACCCTCAAATTTCCCCTGCCCATCTTACAGAAAGAGCAAAACGACTGGCTGGATAAAACTGTGAGCAGTCTTATCTGATCTCCAAGCTGGCTGTGTGTTGGGCAGCTAAGCTCCCTTCTAACCTGAACTAAGTTCTGGTTCTAAGTCTTCAAGGAAGGATAATAATAGAAATTGATAGAAAATTCAGCTCTGTAACGTACTCCTTCAAGGACTCTGTTTCTTTTCTTTAGGGCTTTCCCTGAATTCTAAAGGACAGATCTGGACACCACCTGGCCAGAGGCTCAATACCTTCACTAACTCAGAATGAGAACCTCACATACCTTTAGGTGCTTCTGTCCTGCAGAGTTCCAAGCTCTTCACGCCAATGGCTGTTGTAGTCTACAACCTCAGGATCTCATCCAGGAAGCAGCAGGATTCTGGGGCCAGCATGGAACACCAACGAGACGGGCTCCCGGTTCATGAAACCATTTATTCAGCATGGGAGCAAACTCAGATCCAGAACAGAGAGCCCCGAACAGAGGCACAGCAGGGGTTTCTGAGGGACAGAACCCCCGAGGGTCTCCACCTTTGAGGGTGGAGTTCAGGGTCAGGGACCACTAGAAACACAACAAGGGAGAAACCCACAGGGACTCAAACCCAATCAGAACTCCTGGGCCGCCCTTCACAAGGGGTTTGGGGAGGGACAATGCTTATCTGAAAGTAACTCTTTGCCTCCCCGAGGCACATCACAACAAATGGCCTTTTTCCAAAGCTTTTGTTTTCACAGATTACCTTTCAGAGCACTGATGAAGTGCTGACTTGAATGGCCCCCAAGTTTCTTGAATGCTGTAGTACCACTTAGGTTACCACTGTAGTACCACTTGGGTTAGAGAATCCACAGTAAAAAGCAAAATTAAAAAGCACCAAAAAGTCATGATAAATGGTGCAATTAAAGCAACATAAAACACTTTCAATCACTAAGAAGAGCTACAGCTCAGCTCCTGGGCAAGGAAAGGTTCTAATTTTCCACGGGAAGACAAAGCATATGCATCAAATTAGTTATGTTTGAGAATCTCTCCTATGCACAAACATCAGCAAAACTGACTATCCATTTGTACACAATCAGCAAACAAGATGTGGAGACTTCTCTAATTACTGTAGGTTATTATCATTCTAAGTGTTTCTCTTTCCCTTCAAAATAAATCCACCAGGGGCGCACTCACATATCCACCCAACATGGATGGTTCATTTCCCTGAGCCTGCTTTATGAGAAGGAAGCAGGCTTTGCCAGAGGGTGATTTCTGATCAAAGCATCTGATGCCTTAGGAACACAACTCTGGCTATCCCTCACTCTCCTACAAAAACCTAACAAGATACTCTTCCTAATCTAAATTAAATGTCTAAAATTAGGTAGTGTCTGGATGCCCAGCAGCCTGTTACCAAAATGCCTCAACCCTGGAAGGGATGACACAAGAGAGGAGAGACACCCCTCTAAGTTAGGGTGAGGAAAACCTTATTCCCACAGGCCTTTGCAACCACATGTTAATACCTTTTGGGTTCTGCTGTTCCAATGGTTTGTAAAAATTTGGATCACCCCTGTTCAGCCCCCATTTACCATTTATGTATACTTCCTAGAATGTTCTCACTTCTCTTTACCCCTATTGGCTGTTTTGCCACACTGCTCCACCCATTATCCCATCGGTTCTCCCAGTCTCTAGCCACTCCCCTGCACCACCTCATTTAACCCTCTGCCCTTATCCCAATCTTGCACTTGTCCCTGGATCCCTAAAGCATCTTTGGGTACCCAAACAAGACCCATCCCTTCGTTTTTATTGTCAGTAATCTCTAGCAGTGTCCTCTGGGCCCCAAGGGCACGGGTCACTCTCATGGGTTTGTTGCAGCACGTACCGTAACAGTAGTGTGTTATTTTTTTTGTCACCTACCTATCAGCATTCCATATCCTACTGCTCATCTGTGCATCTTCAAAGGTCCACAGTTCTGATTTTTGCCCTCTATTTCCTTCCTCAACCAAAAGGGGGATATTTTTAAAAAAGTAAGAAAATGTTATTGTACAAAGTTCTGTTGTGAAACAGAAACCATTCAGAGAAGGATGAAATGCTTCCCTGTGCTTTAATATAGCTTCAAAACTTCTTTAGATTATGAACTGTTAGCGTACTGTTAGGCAATCTCGTGCCACAGAATAAATCTTGGACTCAGGTGTCTCATGACACAAGTGACCTTGGATGAAAGCTACAAAAATGACAACAAAATAAAGTAGCACACATCCTTTGGCATTAAGTATCTCGTGCTACATTTCCCTGCAGCAATACCGTCATGAAGTAAAATCCAGAGTTAAAAGTCAACTACAGCTCCAAACCCAAATAAAAAGTAGAAGCAAATTAAATCTTCCCCTGCCCAAAACTTTGTAAGTTTATAAGCAAAGCAATACTCCTTTTTTCTTGTCATAGTTAATCTTGGATGTGTTTGCCTCATGTTTTCTGTATCTTCCCCAATCTGCAGTACAGTTACAGAATTTCATCATATGAGGATTTGGGCCTTGATTCGTTTATTTGGTCCTGAAACACTGAAAAAAAAATTGCACAAAATCTATTTGAAAACATTTTACATGGAACTGTACCTAAAAAAAAAAAAAAAAAAGAGAACAGTAAGAGAATTTCATGGTCCATGCTTTATGGGAGCACCTACTGACAGAAAAATCTAGCACAGTTCTTGCTAATTCAGCAGATCACAGTCACAAACCCCCAAGTGGTGCATGTGTGATAAGAAGACGGAAGAATCCAGAATCACAATTAAGTGAGAAGATTTCTGTGTTTACAGAAAGCAGAAGCTGAAGATCTAAGACAACTTCCTGATGCCCTGGAAGATCACTGCATTGTGAAGCTACAGAACAGACAGCAAAGGGAGAGGGTAACAAAACCTAATCAGAACAGAGACGAACACAAGCACTCCTGTGACAGGCAGCCAGGCATGATTTGTGGCAAAACCAGCTGCTACTTCAGACACACAATGACAGTGGTTTGCGTATTTTATTAGAAGAATATCAATCACTGATAGAAAATCACATAAACAAAAAATCAAATGAGCCTTCACCAGATTTAGGAAGAAGCAACAATAACTGAGGCAGCCTGAGACTCTGCAGAATTCTCTCTTATTGACAGAACAATCTTTGGCCGCCAGGAAAGTCCCTTTAGAGCCTCCAGCCTGGTGGCTCAGACAGCTCCAGGTTCCTAAATACTTACAGATCAGAGAAGCACAATAGGAAAGAATTTGCAACCTCTTTACCTTAGTCCTACCTTCATGTAATCAGCAAACATTTTGATTAATGATGCATTGGGATAAATATTCTGTAACTGAACATCTGGAATAGCTGCTGTTCTTTGCAGTGATTTCCATGTTTGCTGTTCCAGTGAAATCAATGTTTAGGGTATTTCTTGTCTATGGATTCTCTCTTGGCCATGCTGGCTTTTCATTTTCCTTCCATCACTATGGTGCAGACATATCTTTGTCAGTTTTTCTTCAAAAAAAGAAGTAGTAGTAGAAATTGAGGTAATCACACTGTTCACCCTAACTGAGTTGATTCTTGTTTGGCAGAATTATGATCCTTGTCAAACTGAGGAACTAGACTCCATGTCTGTGTTTAATCTCACCTCACGCTGACACATTTCTGAGTGGTCTATACATAGCAAAGGACAGTGATAACCGGTTCAGTTCAGTGCACAGTCAGATGCACTGCTGTGTTCTCCAATTACTCTTGTTGCAGTTTTGTTTAACCCCTGCATCCTCCAGGAAGATCCTTAGGGCAAGCAGAACATGAGACACCGGGTGTGCTCTCCCTTGTGAGCACACAGCTCTTGGCAGAGCACAGCTACAGGTGCTGCTGAGAGCCCAGTGCCAGCCTCATAGCTGTGCTCAAATCCCTACACAAAGTTGCAGACATTTGGCCCCATTACCACACTTTGCACAACCACCTCAGGGCAGGCAGGTGTAAGGCAAGGTATGTTGTGTAAAAGGGACAGTATGGAGTACTTCTATTTAATAGAAAACTGCTTAAGGTATCCTTACTTGTTGTAGTTGCACATTTTGCTCTACAAAGTGCTTAGAGATAGAAGGCCAATGTATTTTAATAAAAAAGGAAAATGAATCCATTATTCATATACTGATATGACCTTTCCATACCCTGTATTTTGCTTGGAATCTCATTTACATGACTATGGAGAGTTTTCCTGATGTGCACATGTAGCTTGAGCTCTGCCAGAAAAAAAAAAACTCAGCAGGAAACTGCATGACATTGGGTAAAGTCCCAGTAATTTAATCAAATGGGTAATTAAATAATTTAAATTGTTAATTTAACATACCTGGCAACAAGAGAAAGCAAACACTGATCCTATTTCACCCTTGCTGGGGACCAAATGAAACAAGTTACCATTTTAACAGACTGGGAGTTAGAATTTAGGTTAAGAATATGATTCCAGTCCAGAAAAGATCAACATTGTCAGAGAGCAGGAGGCAGCATAGGAGCCAAATACTTACTTTGGTAACAAATACACTCTTTAGAGCCTATTAGAAGTGGCAGTCACAACCTACTACCTCACAACCAATCCAGGATGTTTGTTAATACCTGCAGAGGGGCTTCCCAACCTGCACCCTCACACATGGCACCGATGATACTGCCAGTCATTTGGAGTTCTGCTTCCAATCCATCAGGTTCATTTCAAAGCCTCAAGGGGAATTAGCAATTGGGATGTCATTCATCACTTTGCTGAGAACCATTTTTTTTCCAGGAGAGCTTGTCATACCAAGCAACCCACACAAAATACAATTAAACAGTGTCACTGCTAGACAGATTAAAATTGCAGTTCAATAGTGGAACTCACTGTTGCTGAACAATTTCATAAATTAAGTATGTTCAGGCAGAGTTTCTGCTGAAGGTATTAGCAGTGATACAAACACCAGGACCTAGCAAATTGCATGGGTAAAAGGCTAGCTCCTTTAGAGCCAATAGCAAAACTCCCAGGCATTCCGAGAGCCAGAATTTTAATTTCTCATGCCAGCTGCAACATGTTGCTGTGGCTTTGGGCAAACTACACTATTTCAGCCTCCCCAGTTAAAAAACATGGCCCCCTAAGCACTGCTTTTAGACAGACAGACTGT